AGGGCTATGTGAGGGACTGCAGGCAGAAGGACTATCCCCTCGAGGACCTCAGGTTCTACATGTGTCGACGGCCTTTTCGGTTCGGCAGCGGCAAGATCGAATGTGCGCAGCGCCGTGGCACGATGCCTGCCAGCTTCAAGCAGAAGTCAGACACACTCCACATGCACGTGGTACCAGGACATCAACCCACCCTCTTTCCGAGGCCGGTGCTGGAAGTGCCCGGAGTTCAGGTCGGCAACGCCAATCAGACAGTTGCGTGAAACGGAGGCGAGTTCGAGGCCGCAACGCTATCACCTCAAGGACACTACACGGTGGACCTACTAGAGGAGCTGGACTGGAAGACGAGTCACCGCGCGAACGACTTCGAGCACGAGCCCGTCGATGCAGCGCAGTTCCTGGACCCCAGCAACGAGACCATGAGCGGCCTAGAGTTTCTGGACAACGCCTACCTGGCGGACTCCAGCGAAAGCGGTGAACAGCGGGAGGAACCACAACGGCGACCTCATACAGAAGGCTGTTCCCGACGCGCGCTACAGGTCAGTTGCTGCAAGGCCTACATGAAGCAGTGGCAGTGTCAGCAGCATTCCTCGTGTGGCAACCTGTTTTTCACTACGACAGCCATCGAGCCAGCTGACGCCGCGCAAACGGAGCCATGCTGGTACCCACTGTCACCGGCGGCGGACGATGCCAACTTCAGCAACGACGACGACCCCGACGACGGTGTCAAGCAGATTTCGACCAACTTCGCTCAGAAGATCGACTCAGCCGCAAAGCGCGGCAGCGAGCAGTACTTACAAACCACGCGGAGAGTAAGTCGCACTGAAAAACAGACGATATGGGAAGTCTACGCTGGAAAAGCCAGAATGCACAGGCACTTCGAGATCTAGGAGCACGCGCGGGGAAATTTGGTCTCAATAGTGGCTGGAATTTCGCAAAGGAGGGCCATCATAAGGCGTTCCTCAAGAAGCTGATGGAGGAGCACCCAGACGAGGTTCATCTGTCACCCACGTGCGGACCCTGGTCCAACATGCAGGAGCTCAACATCCACTGGCGCCCCTGCTGGAAGGAGTACCTCGCCGAGCTACGAGAATGGCACCATCGAGTGCATCTACAGTTCGTGGCCAAGGTGTACCTCATACAGCAGCAAGGAGGGCGACATGCTCGCATCGGACATCCAACTACGTCGAGGGCGTGGCACACCGAGGCGTTCAGCCGCCTACATGGCGAAAACAACGCGTTCGAACAATGCATGTACGGCTATGCGGTCGATGGCAGCACAAACATGTTTAAGAAGCCGACGACGATTAAGACGACCAAGAAGCTCGCGGCAGCTGTGCTCAACGAGCAATGCGACAGATCACGTGAACACGACCTACAGGAGGGACGAAAATTCACTTAACCCTTCGAGAACTACCCGTTCATCTTGGCAGCGACGATGGCGCAAGTCATGGTCGAGCCGGAGATCGAGGACATCTACGCAACGGAGGGCTCAACGCACTCGGAAAAAGGTACCAAGCCCGAGCACTCGGACTCAAGTCGCGAAGCTCACCAGCACGCGCGCCTACGACAGCAGTGCGGCACGGAAGCACTGCGCTACGTCAAGAGACTTCACCGGAACATGGGACACCCCAGCCCAGCAGTACTGCATCGTCTACTCAACAGGCAGGCGCCCAGGACAACATCCTACAGTGTGCATCGGAATATCGGTGTGAGCCCTGCATGGCCAGACAACGTCCACCAGACGCACCCAATGCGTCAGCGAAGCAGGCCACCAAGTTCAACGAGATCGTCTATACTGGCGTCTTCTGGATCAAGAAAAGTACTGGCAAGACGGCAATTCTTTCGATGATAGGCGGGGCCAAGCGCAACTGTGCACTACGCACCATCAAGACCGAGACGGCAGAGGGGCTGATCAAGGCAGTTGAGCGTGACTGGATCAGACAAGGTGAACCCATGGGAGAATTGCGGACAGACGATGGTTCAGATTTTACTTCAGATCTTTTTACACAGTTTTTAGAACAGCATTGCATTTCGATCGTTATTGGGAGTTGTGGAGTGTGGAGTTGTGGAGGTGTGGAAGTTTGGGAGTTGTGGAACGTCGGCATCAGGCTGTTCGAGAGGCGGTGGAGCTTTATTGTGTAAATGCTATCGACCGCGGAGCCAAAACGGCTATCGCGGAGGATTTGATTGCGGAATCTTGTATTTATGTGCCGCATCAGGTCAATCGCTTGGCTTCCACAAAAGGCTATTCACCATGCCAGTGCGTTCTGGGAATGGATCCGACTACTACCATGACTACCTCCAGCGACAAGTTCTCACCGGCGACCCTGTGCCAGATAAAGGAGGACGAGGACTTCAATAATGTACTTGGGCGAAGGTCAATGGCGGCATCAGCGTAAATGAAGGCGGACGCCTCGGCCAAACTACGACGCGCACTTTCGCGGCGTCGCGCTGCCCCCAAGCGCGATCTCGCGATCGCCCAGCGGTGGTACTACTGGAGAGAGGACAAGACCAACATGCTCACCAAGAACAAGCGGAAGGGGCCCGCAGTCGTAGTCTTCAAAGAGATGAGGCAGGACGAGAGCGGCCCGAGGATCTCCAAGACCCCGCGCGGCGCGAACCCACTACGCTGTTCCCCGGAACACGTTCGACCAGATGTTAGCGATCAAGGATGCGTTCCCCTGGAAAACCTCACGCAGGCCAAAGAGGCGCTCGAAAACATGAGGTGGGCCGGAAGCACGCAGATCCACGATGTCAGTTCACAGCAGCAACAATTCGACGCGCCGGGCGACTCGGATATGGACATCAACGACGACCATGGACCAGGAGACGAACCACCACCAAAGCGACAGAGGGGAACACCGTCTACTGGTGGAGCAGTTCCGGCAACAACGGTGATGGCACCACAGCTCTCCCCCCCTCCAGGTATTCCCAGCGCTACGCAGGATGAGCCGATGGACGTTCCCAGCACACCTCAACAAGAAAGACAGCCAAGCGAAGGACAACCAGATCAAGAACCAATGCCACTGACACCCCCACCTCAGACTATGGAATCACCAGCGCAGTCAACGACGCCACCAACCACGCAGACACAGTCACCACCACCTCCAGGTCAGCGGCTACCGCCAACACCAGCACCAACTACGTTTACGACGTGTTGTTGCAAATCGGCGGCAAACTACATTCCAAAGTTCGACTACCACACAGCATACAAGTACTACTGTGATGAGATTGCGAATTATATGAAATTGTACATGCCGAAGCCCCTGATGTCGGAGTCAACGACATAGAAGTGGCCAAAGGCCGGCCACCCCTCCTGCAGTGAATCACTGGCCGGCTCTTCTTGGAAGAGCGTGCCACTGTGATGAGATTGCGAAGTGTTCGAGGTTTTCTGGAGGCATCTGGGATACATTAGTGCTTACGATGATTGGAATGGCAATGCCAGCTCCAGCAGTCTGCGAGAGTTTATGGAGCATCGAGACGACTCCAGTGTGAAGTACCAGACTGAGACAAGCAACAAGCATGAGACGACCGAGGAGACAGCGACGACCAGCATCGACAAGGAGACGCCCATCCACCTCAAGAAGACGAGCAGCAACCACAAGCAGGTGCGACGGCGGACGGTCGGCGTACAGAGCATGGTCACCTACCGGCTGGAGGGAGATCAGTGGCGATTCCGTGACAAGATGAATGGATTGAAGCGGGCAGGCGGAGTTTCAGTGGAGACGACCGAACCCAATCAGTGGCAGAACGGCTACGATCGGACAGCAGACGACAGCCCCAAGGGCTGCGGTGAGTGAGCCAACACACCAGCGCAGCTTCAGTATTTTGTTTTTTTGTACGCTCAGTTGTTGTATTGCTAGTTGTGCATTCCGTATTCAGTTTGCAGACGCAAGTTTGCATTTCATACTAAACTTGCAGGCGCAACATTGCATTTCGTTTACGTCCGTGTGTTTATGCAGTCTTCGACAGCTTGTGCAGGAGATGCTTAACTTATGGAGTTTCGAATTTAATATCTTATATTGAAGAGAGGGCTTCCCTCTGTTATATGTTTGTTACCTTTTCACGGGTGTGAGATATACGCTGTACATCTTGTGTGTTGTGCAGGTTGTGCAGAGCACGACGGAAGCATAGCGAGCGTACCATTGCACTTTGGCCCAAGCCTTTTCAGGGCCCTTGAGTCAGCGCAGCAGCGGTGTGGAAAACATCTCAGATGTTCTTCTGGTTTCTTATTCTCATTGCCATCAGAGACTTCGGGGGCTGTATGTGGACGTGCATATCATGTGGATGCCGTATGTTGTGTCGTGCTGCGTATGCCTCTGATGCGTGTGCGCGGCTAGTGCGTGCGTGCATGTGTGCGCACGCCTTGTGTGCGTGTGATTAGTGCGCGCATGGGTGTACAGGTGGAGGAGGAGAGGTGTGGAAGGGTGAGAGAGAAGGAGGAGGAGGGATGAGGAGAATCGCGGGTGAGACGCGGGTTGGAAGAAAACAATAGCCCCACTCAGCATGTAGGAAAAACACGCAAATCAGCGCGATTCAATGTGACATTCCAGCCGCAACTGGAAAGAGGAGGCGGAGGGGGAGGAGAAGGAGGAAGATGAGGAGGAGGAGGTCGAGGAGTCTGACGCCACGAAAGCATCCGAGGACATGCCAAATGACGAGGACGAGAGAAACAACAGTGACAATGAGGAGGACATTGCACAGACCATCGAATATCCAAGGTTTGGCTTTTGCGTCACAGTTATGGTTTTCGTCAGACGTTCGGGACGATTCGGGCAATCCTGGAACGCTCTCGGCGAAGTGCAGCTGCCAGAAAGCATCCCGAGGCTGCGAAGCCTCTGGGCACCTACGCAAACGTCCGAAAAACTTCGGGAACCTGCGAATACGTACGGAAACGCCAAACATGCCGAAGGATGAGGACGAGGGGGATAGTAGAGAACACGGCGAGGAAAACGCTGCCGCGGACCAGCCGCGCGGCTTGGCCCGCGCCCAAGCCGGTCCTTGGCGAGCAACGCATCCTCGAAGAGGTCCGGCCTCTCTCCGAGCAGTCGGTCCAGGAAAGTTTCGTACCGCGCCTCTTTCACCGGCGGCCTGCCCCCCCCGCGGTCCGCGGGTCGCCGCCGTCGCCGCCGCCGTCGTCGCCGTCGACGCCGTCGTCATCGTCGTCACCGTCGTCGTCGTTGCCATCGTCGTCGCCGTCGTCGCAGTCGTCCTCGTCGCCGTGGCCACCACTGTCTCATCGTTGTCGTCGTTTGCGCCGTCGTCGCCGTCTCGTCCTCTTCCTCGCCCCACCCCCCCCCGCTGGTGGTCGTCCTGGTGTTCCCCCGTCCCGTCGCCTCCGCGTCTTCCTCCTCCGCAGCAGCAGCCCGCCTCCTCACGTTCATCCCTCATTCTCGCCCCCTCTGCTCATTACGCTACCGATGAACCCACATACACAATTTAAGTACATGCGTTCACTTAGCATGTTTCCATATACGCGCGATCCTGCATTCTGGGCGCAGTCGCGACTGTTTCCCGAGTTGCCATCCACTGCACCATGCCTTGAGCCTCCTCCCTCCGCGCTCAAGGACCACCACATGCGCGCCCCCTCTGTCGAGACAGTGCCTCGCGTGTCGTGCCCTGCGCAATGACCCGCGTAGAGGCCGCGCTCAGGGACCACCACCTCAACGCTCCCTCTGATGTCAGAGGCCGCCACGCCTGCCGTGCCCTGCGCCATGGCCTTCAAAGAAACCGCATTCAGGGACCACTCCTGTGCGCTCCCTCTGGCGTCGAGAAAGCGCCACGCCTGCCGTGCCCTTCGCCGTGTCCCACATAGAGGCCGCGCTCACGGACCACTGCCCGCGTATCCCCTTTGGCGCGGAGAAAGCGCCACGCCTCCCGTGCCCTGCGCCATGGCCTGCATAAAGCATACGTGCATACGAGCATCGTTCCAAGCAGCCAGTGCTGGCCCTGGGCTCGGGGAAAGCAGCACGCCCCTGTAGAGCAGGTTGCCTCACTCAGGGGAGGAGGAAAATCTGATTCAAGGCTTGTCGACACGCTCCAGCAATTGGTGAAACTTCGTGACATGCGCCTCCAGATGGTGCCAAGAATCCGAATCTGCAGCGATAGGCATCCACTTGACTCCGGCCCCCATGTCTGACTCGCAGAAGCTGGCGAAACAATTGCTCCACCTCCGTGCTGGTCGACCTGCGCGATCACGTGCCTCGTGGTGCTTCCGGGGGGGTCCGAATCGAAGACTGCACGGGACAATTTCTGACAGTCGGTACTAAGCAGTCCCCCGGTAAGCGGAATTTCTTTCGTTTGTACTCAACGATCCAATCTGGAATACTCAAAGAATCGAAGCGCTGCTCTATCTCTCTGGCCGTGCGTTGCATGAAGTCAGACCATGGTTGGGGGTTGTCGCTTTTCTCTTCGTGCTGTTCAGATTGATCGGCTTCGTCGGTGTCCGAGCTGTCAGAGTCCATGCGGAAGCCCCGTGCAGCACGCAAGGCGTACAATGACAAAGATATGGGGCTTCCTGACCGCAGACAATCCGAAGTCGCTCGATGCGCAAGCCCAGCAATGTAAACACCAGGGCCACAAACAGTACCTCTGACACTGCAGGTCAGACGACCAACATGTTCTTACCACCGTACCCCAACATGTAAAGATAATGTGGCGAACATATGTTTAAGCCCGGGTGAGCCAGCTGCTCCCTCCGAGTCACTTAATGACGAAGATGGGGAATGAGGAGAAGAAGGTGGCGATGATGGTGATGCAAACGTTTGAGCCACTAGCTGCGAATAGGGCCCATGTCAGACAGTATGGAGCACGCTGGAAACCACTAAAAGAACCATGCACCAAAATATCAAAAAAATACAATGGGATAGATATGGGGCTGCCTGTTCAAGCTGAAGAAAAATCAGCTTGAAGAGACTTGGGCCCGCCGGGTCGCATCCAGCAGCCCACGGCACATGCCACTCGCACCGCAATTGGCGAGATAGTCCGCCCTCTCGTTCAAGACCTAGCCCGTGTGGGATTCCACCTTGCGCCATTCGATGAAAAAACAGATCTGGTCGTAGATGCGGCGGGCTCTCAGCGCGAGCTTGAGATTCTGCCGCGCCCAGGTCCGCCGCTGAATGACGCCGGCCGCGTGCTCCGAGTCGCACTCGATAACGGCCTTGGCCCGCGGCCGCGCGGCCGTGCTCAAGTGGTCGCGCAATCACGAGAGGCCAAAGAAGAAGGCGCTGAGCTCTCTGACATTGTTAGAGTGTTGCGTGCCACCGATGCAGCTGGAGTCGTTGTCGTTGGCGGTGGGGCCGCAGTGATCCAGCAGCGTTGGGCCTCCAGGGGCCGCCGCTGAAAAAAAAACAGCCAGAGGCTTCCACGTCGTTTACAAATCTCGACGACCCATCGCAAGACAGGGTGAGGTCGGGTAGTGAAACTATCCAGCTCCAGGCTGCGCAGGAAGATGATCGGCGGGCTCGGCGGCCGGCCGGAGAGCTGCCACGTCCACCCCAGGCTTGACACGCTTGAGCGGCGACAGGACAGCACGATATACTGCCATGAGATTTGGGCCGCGGCTGGTCCACGGTCTAACATGCCGGCTTGCCCGCTCGATCGTCCGCCAGAGCCAGGGTAGCAATGGCATTCGTCCGCAAAACAAACGATAATATCGCAATTGCGTGGTCTGGACGCACTGGTCCCGTTCCGTGCGTCGCTGGGATCAGCCCGCAGCGCGCCGGACATGGCGGAATATCATCAGGTATAATGTGCTCTATAGCAACGCCGTCCAAGGCGCGGCGCTCGCCCTGGTTGCGCGGGCACAGCCACTGGCGGTGCTTGGCGGATTCCACGTCGGCACCGCAACGAGCGCAGGTGGCGTCGTGGTTGTGACAAGGGGATCTTGGTGATGTTGAGGGCTGTCCACAACCCTCCGGTAGTCATTGCCGGCCCCCCAAAGTGCAGCTATGCTCAATACAGATGTTCACGAACAGCTCGTTCTTCGGAAAGCCCGTCTTCGAGGCCGCCAATGTCACGAAGGCACCGGGCAGTTCCTTGAGCAGCAACGCAACGCCGAAAAAACACAAAGATAATGCAGCCGCTTGGACACCCCAGCCAACCGACGTAGTCGCTCGGCGGCGCCGCGCTCGGCATTCGCCAGAGCCTCTGGCGGAATGCGAAAATCGACGCCTTCGTCCCGCAAGAGAGCTTTGTGGCAGAAACCCACTGGATGTTGAGGAAGGCGCACGCCCGCCCCAACTGCACGAAAGGCCCAAACTGGAGCGCCTGCCGGGTGTGCCACAGCCGGCGCCACACAGGGGGGCGAAGAAGATCTTCCAGCAGCAGATGAAACAAAGTGCGTCGAGCAGTGTAAATCACCACGCAAGGCAGATGTGTCCGATGTAGGCCAGGTCCGAGAACGCGCGTCGTGGGCCGCGAGCGTCGGGCGACCGTCCCAGGGCACGCCCTGCCCATGAGCGCGGTGGCTGCCGAAGACATCGCCGTCGCGAACTGGCCCTTGGTGTAAGCGAAGCCGCCTTCTGCCCGCAGAGCCGCCGCATGGTCCGCGACGCCAGCGCCGCGTTGAGAATCAGGAAGAAGACGAACCACTCCGAGTCGCAGCCGATAGTCGGCCATCCGCCGAGTAGCCACTGGTGTAGGCGCAGCGGGGCCCACGATGAGATCAATGCCCAAGTGGCGGAAGCTCTTGCCAGCACGCAAGGCGTACTTACAAAATCGAGCAACCGGACTCTCGACGACAATGAATACGTCTTGGTCGTCAGCTCTGCTTTGGACGCGTGGAACTTACTCCGTGCGCTCTGAATCAAGGCCTCTAGCTCCACAGCGTGCGCATCTTGGAAAGATACCACTCTGCCCAAATGTTTTGCGTTATCTGCTCGTCTCAAGGGCTCGATTTCCATGCCGCGAGCAGAAATGAGCTGCTGGCCAGCCTCGCCTCTCCGTGGGCGGGCGTTTGACCAAAATTATGCTGTCCCTGGATGCAGCGCTAGTCCGCGCTCGCGGCTGGCCGAAGACCACCTCTGGCGTCGAGGAAGTGCCGCGCCTGCCGCGCAGCGTGCCCAGGCCCGCATGAGGCCGCGCCCAAGGACCACTCCCTGCGAGTTCCCTTTGGTTTCCAGACAACGCCACGCCTGCCGCGCCCTGCGCCATGACCCGCAGGAGGACCGCGTTCATGGACCACTCCTGCCCGCCCCCTTCTGGCGCACAGAAGGGCCGCGCCTGCCGCGCCCTGCGCCGTGGCCCGCATAGGGGCCGCGCTGAGGGACCACCGCCCCCGCGCCTTCTGGCGCGGAGAAAAAACCGAGCCTGCCGAACCCTGCGCCATAGCCCGCATAAGGGCCGCGCCCAAAGGACCTGCCCAGCCACAGCCCCTCTGACGTCGAGAATGCGCCTCGCCTGCCGCAACCTGTGCCGTGGCCTGCATAGAGGCCGCGCACGGGGGCGAGCCCCTGCGCGCGCCCTCTGGCGCCGAGAAAGTGCCACGCCTGCCGTGCCCTGCGCCGTGGCCAGCAGAGGCCGCGCTCAGGGACCACCTCCTGCGCGCGCCCTCTGGTGTCGAGAAAGGCCCACGCCTGCTTCGCCCTTCGAATATAACGCGCATGCGTTTTGTGGTCCGCGTGCCTTGTAAATGGATCGGCCTGCGTCTGCGTGTCACGTGTGCGTGCATGTTGCGCGTCAGGCTGCATGTAGGCGTCTGTCTCGTGTGGGCGCCCAATATGTAGCGCGCGCGTCTCGGGCGCATAATGCAGTGAACACGCCAACTATGCGCTACCGTTGCACGGTATGCGCGCGCGGCTGCGTGCGTATGTGCGGCTGCGTGTAGAAGCGCAACTCATGCAGGTGCCGCGCATGCGTTGCGCGTGGGTGAGGCGAAGATGGAAGAGGAGGAAGGCCAACGTCACCTTCAATATGTTTGAATTTCTCTTGGGTGTGATGTCGTCGCACTTGTCTCTGTTTGGTGCTTCCTTCTGTCGCATGCGAGTCGGTGGAACGTGTTGTAAAATGTCCATGATCGGCTGAGGTATGCGCGCTCACGCGCGCAGATATAAAAATGACAACACATGGGTATGACCATCAGCCATAGCCGG